ATAGGTTTTTATTAAATTAAAACAAAATTAAAAAATAATGATCCACATGATTTCTAACTTCTGCACATATTTGACCATTAAACAACTGTTTTCCACTAGTAGTCACATGTCTGCTTCTGGATTTTTTCCCTTATAATTCAGAATCTTCAGCAAATCCTTACTCAATTTTTTTAGGTTATTAACATTTATTCTGTTAATTTAACTTAAATTTATCATTCAAAAACAATCAGAATGATTCCTTGTGGTGCACACCTTGCTTATGTCTTATTCAACAAAACCCTGTGTCAGTGAAAAAAGTCAGCTACTCCATTAACTTGTTATTTTTTTGCAGTTATATTTAATTAATTCTGTAATTCTATTAATTAACAAAATCAGAAACATTTAGTATTAGCATAGAAAGTATTGTACTGGGTATGTTGGCTTAACTTGGGATTTAATGACAATATGCTCTGCCAATCTCACCAAAAATAAGTTGCCCTCTTTGTTTCATATTTTACATTGTTATTTATCATTATGGTAGTTTTATAGTGTGCTTCTTAGCTAGCAAAATTCACACTAATTTTCATCTCTGTACTGGACATACAAAATTTTTTGTCTAAGTGTACTTCTGTGGAGTGCTTACTGGCACATGACTGTTCATTTTTTAGTTTGTCTTTGATTCATTCTATTCTGAAGATTCTATAAATGGGTTCATAATTTCTTTAATGTTTCTGTTTATATGTGTGTATATATATATGTACATATACTATATATATATATATATATATATATATACTCCAAATTTACATTCATTAATGCATGAGAATTTAGGATATGAGAATTTTTAAAGATGTTAATAATGTGTTAAATTTAGGGTTTCCATAAGGTCTTGAAGTGAGTAGGTACTCAACGTAACCCCATGATGCTTCCTCTAGAATTTCTGCATAAAGTAAGTGAATTATTTAATTTATTAAGCATCCAGTACATATTAGGAACTATGTTAAGTGCTGGGGATACAAATAAAAACAGAGATACACCCTGCCCTTAAGGAGCTTAGAAGCTAACAAGGGAAGACAATATACAAAAGTAAAATGAAAAGCAGAAGGGGAGAGTAATATTGAATAATATTGAACTGAAAATAATGATGATTTTGTTACATTCGCTCTGTTTTACTCCCTTAGTGGGCTGAATGTGTCACATGAAATTCTGTCATACTAGTAAGCTAATCCGTTCCACAAAATCATAGCCTAATTGGATTATGGGCAGACAAAGTATTTGCCTATATGTTGTGATTTGAGAAATTACAAAAACCTTATCTGTTCCCAAATATTTCCCTTACTGGCCTATTCAGATGAATACAGTTCTCATTGTTGGGATCATTACTTTAAATTAAGGCTCACCTCCAGAAAGTCCATGCTAAAATTTGTATCTAAAAGGTCAATGGAGACATCTGAATGATCATCAGCAACACATATAGAATGTCGATGTCAAAGCCATCTTGTTTACTTTGTCAGCTCTTTATCATCCACATTAATCAGTGAACAGAGTTTTGAGAATAGTACTTAATAAATGTGTTGAAAGCATGAAAGTAAGAAAACTGGTTCTATGAAAGCAATGAGGGATTATAAAAATTGCCTGTGACAAAAAAATTTACAAAGTATGACTATATACAGGAGCTGAAAGTCTACAGGGTAATATTGAAGCCAGCTTCTAGTCTTGGTAAAACTGAAGTGAACAAAAGCCGATTTTCATATTGCTTGCCATTTCAATTAGGAAGGGGGTGCAGGAGAGAGGGAGAAAATTTGAAATTGAAAATAAAAATTAAAAAATACAATAAAACATTAAAAAAGTTAAAGAAAAAATAAATTGATCTTTAGTATCCCTCACTTTCTTCTGGTGTTTCCCAGCTCCTTATGTTCCTATGCTAACTCCCTCTTACTATATTCTCTAGGTGTGCTATGTCACATTCTTGAGCATTTTAGCACTGCAATTACCAGTATAAATATTCCATTTTTAGTTTACCAAGATGCCATTGTGATAATGGGTGCTAATGGGTGAATACATTATTCCTCTTTGGCCAGCTGACATTTTACTGTATTATTTTTACCTGAAGAAGTATGTTTTCCACACCAAGTCAGTGAACAAATACTTATTGTCTACTGTGTTCCAGGTATTATGTTAAGCACTAGGAATACAAAGAAAGGAGAAAAAAATATAGTCTCTTTGCCCAAAAGCTCAGTATCTAATGAAGAAACAACATGAAACATTATTTACAAACAATATATATACAGGATAAATTTGCGAAAACAAACTAAGGAAAGTCACTAGTATTAAGGAGGATTAGGGAAGATATAATGTAGATGGGATTTTACGTGGGACTTGAAGGAAGCCAAGGAATCCTGTCAGCAGAGAATAGTAGGAGGGGGGAGAGTTCCATGCATGTGGGGAGAGCCAGTAAAAAATATATAGTCAGGAGATGGAGTGTCTTATGACAGGGATAGCAAAATGGTTAGTGTCACTGCATTGTAAGGTAGATAGAGGGGAGTAAGGTGTAAAAAAGACTGGAAAGAAAGGGCAGGGCTAGGTTTTAAAATTATATTACATTATTGAGTTTATCTATAATTGTCTAGTGTTGCCATTCCAATATTTTAATTTCATTTTCACAAGAAGGCCCTCATTGTCTGTCAAGCTAATGAACGGATTTATGCAATACAGATGGACAATGAGCTTAGTCTAGATTGTTCTGGAAAAAAAGTGCAAGATCTTTTAGTGACTCAAGTTTCCAATGTAAGTGAAGGTCCACCTTTTCAATGATAACACTGTACTGATGTTGCTATATGGCAAAAATATAAAGGCAACATTGCCTCGAAAGAACTAAAAATGAATGTCACACAGAGGAAAATGGAAAGATGCATAGTGAGTGTGGGTAATATATAACCAGTAGGAAACTTCGAAGAATAGAAGTAGTTTGTCCTCAAGGAATTGTTTGATAAGAAGAGAAGATGAGTTGGTCATGTGTCAAGAGCAAGAGATGAAAGCAGGACAGAGTTCTCTACTGGTACTTTCAGTTTCCAGAGAAAGTAAGGAAGGTCTCTAGCAAGTTAGACTTTATTGGATGAACCTTTGGGAGAACGTACACGAAAGACACACATAGATAGGCATGGATGGATTGAAATCCCTGTTGCTCAAGGAAATTTTCAAGTTGATATGATCAGAGATCCATTTGGGTATTAGGTATATCTGTATCTATATTCCCTAAAATATGTATGTATATGTGTAATTCATATATGTGTATGTATGTATGTACATATGTATATGTGTATGTATGTGTATATTCGTGTGTATATCTATATCTATCAATCTATCTATCTATATATATGGAGAAAAAGAGAGAGAGAGAGAGAGAGAGAGAGAAAGAGAGAGAGAGAGTATGTGCTTCTGGGAATTTCCCCTCCCCCAACCCAATCAATATGAATTTCCAACAAATTCTCTTTGTTCACCTTTTAATTGATTGACTGAAATGTCAAAAAGTCAGTACTTCTTGTTATAGCCTTTCATAGAAAAGACTCCCTCACTTCAGATATAAATATACATGTGCATATAAATGAACACACATATTTTATATGCATGTATAATATATATGTGTATATATACATGTATGTATATGTACACACATGACCCTCTGATATGCTTCCAAAATGTCCTGGAAACTTTTTCATTTATAGTCTACATGAATGCTGAGGTATATATGAGCAACCTTTAACAGGTTGCTATAATCATCATATATTTATGCATTATCATAACTAAAATGATGGAATATTATGCCTAATATATAGGCTAGCATAATATAAAATAAAATGCATCAGTTAAAATATGACAGGGATTTTTGAAATAAAAATTATCTATGAGAGCTGAAGATTGTAGAAAAAGTACCAATAGATACCGACACTTACAAATGTATGAACAGTAATGGAAGTTTCATTTAACTTATTTTTAAAGAATTTCTCCTTATTCATTATGACATTTCTCTGATTGGTAGTAGTGTTAAAAATCTAAGGTTGTAACCATTGTTATCTTGGTCTTTTTGTTCTTATTTCTGTAATTGTTCTATATTTGAATAGTTATGCTATTGCCTAGCTTTGTCATTTCATTTACATTAATAATTGCTTTCTATAATAATTACTAATGTTATGCCTTTTTACATAGTGAAATAAATAGATCTTAGTCTCTCTGTCTGTCTGTCTGTCTGTCTGTCTGTCTCTCTCTCACACACACACACACACCCACACACATACACACACACACACACACAAAGAGCCCTTTGTCTTTATCCTATAAAATTGTTCTCAGCCAAGTTATGGGAAACACTCCAGGGGAATATAATGAATATACCTTTGATTCTTAAGAGGAAAAAGCCTATAACTTGAATTTGACTTCATTGCTTTTTTATTTGTCCAGGGTTTGTAACTATAGTTATAGTCTTTGAATCCCTCCTACCTAGCACAGTGCCTTATATAGTGAATGTTGGGGGGGGAAATGATTTTTGGATTGGATTGGATTGGTTGTGTTTTAGAATGAGAGAAGAAAAAAGATGTATAATTTTATAGTTTACAGATTTTCTCCTGTTGATTAAATCACATTTTCTACATTGGTCAAATGGTTTTATTTTTAATTTTTTTAGTGCCTTAAATAGTGGTGATAATTATAATCTGATAAAATATTCCATAAACATTTTTTCCTATATCCCTTGGAAGTAAGTTAACTTTTTATATATGAATTAATCATGGGGTACTATTTTCAATTTTTAATATGATACATGTTAGCTTCTTAGATATGTTCATCAGAAATGAATTAATATATCCAAAAACCACATCTTCTTTAGACATATTGGGGTTTTAAAAGTGATAACCATCTAAAACCTGAGAAATGCCACACATTGAATCAAATGGTAAACTTTTGAGAGACATATTAATTAAAATTAATTCTCAGATAGATAAATCCATATAATGTATCTTTTGCAGTATTGGTGACAGATGGAGAGATCATCTCATTTGTGGCTTACATTCAATCTGGATTTTGTAAAGTTTATAGAGAAGTTATTGGGTTTATGAAATGTCAACTTAGAAAAATGGTAAGTTATTTTAACCTTTTAAAAAAAATTTGGATCTGTGATTTAATTGGTACTGTGAGCTCCCAGTGAGGGAATTCCATATATGAATGCATTTCAGTGAATGATCTTTAACTCTTAGGTTGTCTGAGAGAATTGAGAGGTTAAGTAGTCAACCAGTATATATGTGAAGACCTCTACTGAGGGAAACATTCTTTCTTAAGACAGCCCATTCCCTCTGCACAGCTCTAATTATTAGGTGATATCTCCCTTACTTAAAGTTTAAGCTTGTCTATTGGCAACTTCCATTCTTGCTCCTCCTACTTTTGCCTTCTGTGGCCAAGCAGAAAAAGTTTTATTACTATTCCACATGATGGTCCTCCAAAAGCTTGAAGATAGCTCTCATGTCCCTCTATGTCTTCTCTTCTCCGGGCTAAACATCTCTAGGTTCTTTCAACAGTCTTCATGACATGAACTCATGACCCTTCACAATTCTGGTTGTCCTAATTTGGGTGACTTCCATCTCATCAATGTCATTCCTAAAATGAAATGACTAGCTCCAAACACAATATTCCAATTATTGTTTCACCAGGACAGAGTACAATAGGACTGTCAATAACTTAGCTTCTCTTAATGTAATAAGATCACATTAGCTTTTCTGTCAGCAGTGTCAAATTGTTGATTCAAATTAAACTGGGTTCACTAAAATCTTCAGATATTTGCTGAATGAACTGAACTGCTTACTGTCTAGCTACACGTCTCCATTTCTGTAAATGTGATGTTGATTTTTTAACTCAAGACTTTTCATTTATTTTTATTTTCATCTTATTAGATTTATTCCAATGCTCTAGCCTTTGCAGATCTTTTCTTATCCCTACTCTTCATCCAATATGATACTTACCCTCAAAGTTTAGATCATCTACGTATTTACTGAGCATGCCATCCATGGCTTTATCCAAGGTATGGATAAAAATGTTAATTAATATTAGGGAAAAGCATAGATCTCTAGAATACTCCCATGAAGATCTTCAAAGCTGACATCAAACCACTAATGAGTACTCTTTAGGTCTGGCCATTCAACTAATTTTGAATGCTTTTAATTGCACTGTCATCTAGTTTTCTGCTTCCTACACCATGTTCACATTAAGAAATAATGTTGGCTTCTGGGAGCCAAGATGGTGGAGTAAGTGCTCTTACCCTCCATTATTAACCTCTGAAAGCCTAGAAAATATCATGCCAGGAAAAACCCTAGAACAGCTAAACCACAAGAAAGACTGGGTGCAGCGGACCAGTAGCCCAGGTAGCTTGAGGAGAGAAAACAGAAAAGGCCCCTCTTGCCCTGGGGGAAGGGGAGCAGTACTGAACTGAAGGCATCCCACCAAGCTAGTAGAAAGCCCCACCTTAGCATACCAGGAGGAGATCCTGAAATCCATGTGGTGGAGCAGGCAAACACCAACACCAGGACCCATGAGTGCCTCAGTGAGGGCAGGGGAACTGATGAAAACCAACTTGGAAAACCACCAATGGCCTTGGCATTCTATAGCAACCTACTCTCCCAGTGCCTCATCAAAAGTAAGGGAAGCAGTACTCCAAGGGGCCCCAGGTGGATAAACATCCCACAACACTCATCTAAAAGGAGCTGAAGAAAGCAAAAGGAAGGAAGGGCCCGGGTGAGCAGGAAATCTCCAGGGGCCACACTATCCAATCCTACTGCTAGAGTTCCAGTGTTGTTGATTCTGGCCCAACACCATGTAAGCTGCCAGAACCCTACAGCCTCCAACTGCCAACATCAGGGGCCCCAGCACACAAAGCCAGTGACCAGGCCCTCGCCTCCCAACACAAGAAGCTTGGGTCAGTGCCCTCTGATTCAATCTCTTTAAAGGCCAGGAAATAAATACCATGAGCAAAAAAACAAAAAAACAAACAAAACAAAACAAAACAAAAAAACAAACCAAAACACAAAAACAAAAACAAAAAGCATATGATAGATTCATATTACGGGAAGAATGAAGATCAAGGCAGAAATTCTGAGGAGGACAACATTGTCAACAAACTCACATCTGGAAACTCAAAAGGGAATGTGAACTGGTCTGAAGTCCAAAAAGCCTTCTTAGAAGAGCTCAAGAAGGATTTATAAGTCAAACGAGAGAGGTAGAAGAAAAAAATGGGAAAAGAAATGAGAGGTATGCAAAAGAGAGTCAATAGCTTGGAAAAGGAAGGAAAAAATTAACTGTAGAAAATAAGACCTGAAAAAAAACAATTGGCTAACTGGAAAAAAAAAGTACACTAAAGAAAACAAGTCCCTAAAACAATACAATTGGCCAAATGGGGAAGGAGGTACAAAATCTAATAGAAGAAAACAATTTGTTAAAAATTAGAATTGGGTAAATGGAATCTAATGACTCTATGACAGAGCATGAATCAGTCAAACAGAAACAAAAGAATGAAAAAATAGATGAAAATGTAAAATACCTCATTGGTAAAACAACTGACCTGGAAAATCGATCCAGGAGAGACAATTTAAAAATTATTGGTTTACTTGAAAATCATGATGAAAAAAAGAGTGTGGACAGTATCTTTCAGGAAATCATCAAGGAAAACTGCCCTAAGGTCCTCAAACCAGAGGGTAAAATAGCCATAGAAAGAATCCACAGATGATCACCTCCTGAAAGGATTCCAAATTGAAAACACCAAGGAATATAGTAGCCAAATTCCAAAATTACCAGGTCAAAGAGAAAATACTACAAGCAGCCAGAAAGAAACAATTTAAATATCATGATACCACAGTTAGGATTAGATAGGACCTTGCAGCTTCTACATTAAAAGACCATAGGGCATGGAATATGATATTCCTTAAGGCAAAGAAGATTGGATTACAACCAAGGATCAACTACCCAGCAAAAATAAGCATGATCTTTCAGGGGAGGAGATGGATATTCAATGAAATAAGGGACTTCCAAACCTTCCTGATAAAAAGACCAGAGCTCAACAGAAAATTTGATCTTCAAATACAAGACTCAAAGAGAGACATAAAAAGGTAAATGGGTCAGAAACAACATGTTATTAATAAGGGCAAACTGTTTAAATCCCTACAATGGCAGATGACATTTGTAACCCTAGAGAACTGTATTGTTATTATGCTATGTTAAAGGGATATACATAAAGGGGATGGATAAAAGTTGACCTTGATGTAATGATGAAAAAAATCTAATCAAGTGGGTTAAATGGATCCAATAAGTGAATTAATCTGATCTAACTAAGAAAATGTACTGAGAGAAAGGGAAAGGAGGAGGCAGACAAGGGTAAATTGCATTACAGGAAAAGGCACAAAAACCTATCACGACAGAGGGAAAGAAGGGAGGGAGCTGAGCATTGTCTGAACCTTACTCTCATCAGATTTGACTCAAGAAGGGGATAACATATTCAATTAGGTATAGAAATCTAACTTGCCCTATAGGCAGAAGGAAGGAAAAGGGGAAAGAAAATGGAGGGGGGATGGAAGGAAGGGAAGAAGTAGTAAGGGAAAAGGGGAAGAAAAGGGAGGGGACTAATAGATGGGAGGTGGGACTGAGGGAGGTGGTGGTCAAAAGCAAAACACTAGTGAGGAGAGAAAAGGAGAAAGGACAAAGAAAAGCATAAACAGAGGTAGAGGGAAGTATGGAGAGAAAGGCATGGAGAGTAATCATAACTGTGAATGTGAATGGGATGAACTGTCCCATAAAATGGAAGCATATAGCAGAATGGATTAAAATCCATAATCCTACAATATGTTGTTTACAGGAAACACATTTGAAACAGAGTGACACATACAGGGTAAAGGTAAAAGGCTGGAGCAGAATCTATTATGCTTCAGCTGAAGTAAAAAAAGCAGGGGTAGCAATTCTGATCTCAGACAAAGCAAAAGCAAAAATAGATCTTATCAAAAGAGATAAGGAAGGAAACTACATCCTGCTAAAAGGCACCATAGACAATGAAGTTATATCATTACTAAAGATATATGCACCAAATGGTATAGCATCCAAATTCTTAGAGGAGAAGTTCAGGGAGTTACAGGAAGAAATGGACAGCAAAACTATACTAGCGGAGGACCTCAGCCTCCTCCTCTCTGAACTAGATAAATCTAACCACAAAATAAACAAGAAAGAAGTTAAGGAGGTGAATAGAACATTAGAAAAGTTAGGTATGATAGACCTCTGGAGAAAACTGAATGGGGATAGAAAGGAATAGACTTTTTTCTCAGCAGTACATGACACATACACACAAATTGACCATGTACTAGGGTATAAAAACCTCACAATCCTATGCAGAAAGGCAGAAATATTAAATGCATCCTTTTCAGATTGTGATACAATAAAAATTATATATAATAAAGGGCCCTGGAAAGATAGACTAACAAATAATTGGAAACTAAATAATCTAATCCTAAAAAATGATTGGGTCAAAGAACAAATCATAGAAACAATCAATAACTTCATTTAAGAGAATGACAATAATGAGACAACATACCACAACTTATGGGATGCAGCAAAAGCAATTCTTAGGGGAAGTTTTATATCTAAATGCTTACATGAATAAAATAGAATAAGAGGAATTAATGAGTTGGGCATACAACTAAAGAAACTAAAAAAAGAACAAATTAAAAATCATCAGTTAAACACCAAACTAGAAATGCTGAAAACCAAAGGAAAAATTAATAAAATAGAAATTAAGAAAACTATTGAACTAATAAATAAAACTAAGAGCTGGTTTTTTGAAAAAAACAATAAAATAGATAAACCTTTAGTTAATTTAATTTAAAGAAAAAAGGAAGAAGAAAACCAATTTGCCAGTATCAAAAATGAAAAGGGTAAAGCCACCACCAAGGAAGAGGAAATTAAAACAATAATTAGGAACTATTTTGCTCAACTGTATGCCAATAAATTTGATAATCTTAGTGAAATGGATAAATATTTACAACAATATAAATTGCCTAGATTAACAGAAGAAGAACTAAAATACTTAAATATTCCCATCACAGGAAAAAG